AAAGTTGTGGTTTGTTTATCGAAGTGCAATCATAGTTTCCACATGAGTTGCATATTCTCTTGGCTTAGACAAAGTCAGGTTTGTCCTATATGTCGTATCCCTGTTTATTGTGGTGGAGTGACAATGATCAAATAATGGCATACTAGATTTTGATTTACGCCAAGCATGAGATTAAATAATTTAATATATTTTTAATTGATTTTAATATTTAAATGTGTATGACAAAGCATATGAAATCTAATATTTATAAACGTAGAACATGATATGCATTGTGCATAAAGGTAATGAAATTAAATTTTGATCAACCATATTTTGATGCCATTAGTTTTAATATTTATGTGTAAAATTGATTAAAACATATGTAAATGTTATTCATTTTAATATATTTTAAATGTAAAATTGATTTTTATTACTCGTGTAAATTATAGAGTATGCGATAATCAGATCAATTTTAGATTTATATGAATTTGTCGGACATAACAAATGAAAAACAATATATATATTCCCAATAATGAAATGTGTAAATAATTTTTAAGTGTAGTTAGATATATATAATTGATTATCATAATTAAAATACTTGTATATATTATATTAATCTAAATACATATACAAAACAAATAATATTACTGTAAATATAATAAAAAGCTTCTTAATATAAAAAATATATATTTAAAATAGATGATATGGTAAGTCTAAATATTATATTTAGTTAGACTTAGATTTGTAAAATATTTATTAATAGACTTATGTTATAAAACTAATAAGAATATGTAGAGATTTCTGTTATGGCATATAATTATAATTGAAATGTTGTCTTTGGTTAATTTAAATAACATGTTCTTTAAAATTCTCATTGAGTGACACATAGATTTTTTTAACTTTAGTGTCTCCTCAATTAATATATAGAGGATATAGAGAATTATCAATGCTAAATATGAAATTATGTATGCCCGTGATTTTTAATTAAAAAGAAATGGGTTTATTGGATGGCTAATTGGGCTATCCTATTATTTTGTTTAATGGACTATAGAGGATTATGAGTTTTACTAATTTTCATTAAAAATTCCTTAAAACCTTGTTAGGATGACACCTATGATTTTCACTTAGTGTCTCCTCTATTAATATATAGAGGATAAGAGATGATGCGTTATAAGATCCATTTTAATTTATTTATTTTTGGTGTTTCTTCTCTTTTTAATTTTCTTGACTAGTATTATTATTTTTCACAAAATCACTTTCCGTAAATTATCATTATATTAGTCGTTCTTTTTATTTGTTTCGTGCTTTGTTCCATCTTTTTTTGGCTTTGATTCAGAGAATTGACGGAACATGGTAAAAATATTAGCTGAATCAAATAGGGTAGAAGTAGAACGTTGAAAATGAAATTTTTGTTTTAATTAAAATTGTACATTATGATGTTAGTCTGGATATCTTTGTATCGTTGTAGATTACATGGCAATGTATGTTACAAAGCATAAACTAACGTTTTGAGTAGTTGTAGCAGAGACGATACGGATTAACACCGTTTTTCGCATT